TCCTTGATTACGCATCAACAGAGTGTGTGGGAAAAACAATCAAGTCATGTGTGCTTATACATTTGATTTCTACCTTACTTGAATTATGTATTAACCTCACCAAACCCACATTTCCCCCTTTTCTTTTAAGTAGTACATAGATATAGGAGTACAATATGTAGACAATTTCTAATGAAAGGTTTTTTGATGGTCATCTTCTGGAATGATCGTCCAGAGGATGTTGATGTTGGAAGTTCTTCATATTGTATCTTAATTCATTTTCTGGGTAGCTAAATCAAGCATTGATCCTCTGTAATAACAGAAACAAACCCTTTGCCCCACACCTTGATATGAGCTTTATACCATTGTGAAGAACCTACTGGAGACCACCACAAAGAAACTGCTGTTGTTTCAGAGAAGAAAATATTATCAGAAAATGCACTTCCAAAGCTGATTGTCTGTCACCCTTTAAAAGATCAGAATTAAGGATATGTACAGCATGTATTAATCATTGATTTGCATTAATTTTATCATATTGGGGAGTAATCCCCCTTTTTGTTGTAATAAATAATGCTTAAGAGTAAGATGACAACGTTCAATTAGAGCTTGACCTATAGAATTGTAAGTAATGCCTGTTTTATGAGTGACATCATATAGCTGAAAAATTTTTTTTAGCGTAGAAGAGAGGTAAACTGGAGCATTGTCAGTCAGCTTAAGAGAAAAAGCTTAAAACATTTTATCAGCAACACTTGAAACAAAAAGCTACAAAATGATTTTCTTTAGTTTACTTAATTTTATGTAACCAATACCCTTCTGCTGAAATACAGTTCTTTACTAGTTTAGGAGTAATTAAACAGTAATTATACATAACAAAAGATTTATGAATGACGGTGGTTAAGGAGCTGATGAGAGCTTACTGAAGGCAGTTGATATATGAAAATTTGGATATGTCTGTAATATAAAAACATTCAGTAATAAAATTTAGCATTATTCCTTTTGACAGCACTTTCCAGATAAGTATATATCAGGTAAATAAGCCAAATCAGTCAAATATTTTCCTTTATGAGGAGAAGAAATTACACTGACATGTTCTAGGGGCCTTCTGGAAAATATCAGAGTAAACTAGAGGTAAAAATAGTTTTTTTTCTTTTTTGGTCTTGGGAAGCTGTCAAAAGTTTTTAAGACACTTGCCTAAATAGAATTATAGTTATTAAATAACACTTATTATTTAACCAGAATGATAATAAGGTTTAAAAGCAAATACAGAAGGTTACATAGTTGTTAACAACACTTAGCTTACAGGTCTTTTAATATTAAGATTTTATTTTCCTGAGCAGTCAATAACCAGCTGTATTTAAGAACAAGTTATCTTCTTTTACTTTCAGTACAATGCATTTCTATTCTTTATACCTTCTCTTATTAAAACACACATTCTTTAGCATACAGAAATGTTTTCTGCCGGAGTCCAGCTCCAGCGAGTCCAGGAGTCCCTGAAGGATGGACGGCGTTGGCGACTGACGAAGTGAATGAGGACACAGACACTAGCAAAAGCTGAACCTGACCTTTAATGAAAAGTAGCAGTTTGATTTTTTGATTACATAAAGTAGAGATATTAATCATATAATTGACACATAGCATGGTTACATGAGTTTGGAGACTGAAATGACATCATTTGGCAGGTCTTATTAGCAGTTAACTTGTTTCTAAGTAAGCTTGGTTTTCAGTTATTGCAGCCAGAAAATCTCACAAAGGTTAGGTAGGTGCCAGACTCTTGGTTTTTTTTTTTTTTTTTTTNCTTTCATAGTTATACACCCATTCTTCATCTCCAGTAGGAAAGAAGGACGCTCTCTTTAAATAACATGATTTTTTGGCAGGCAGGGACAAATTTTACAGACTGTGCCTCGGACCCATTTTCAGTAAGACTTACAATGGAGATTTTTCTGATCTGGAGTTAGGTAGTGCCCTGTTTTCTCTTGTTTTATAGTTTTCCAGGCTGTTCTCTGGCTGGATAACCACAGAATAGCATTTGTTCTCTGTACGCACCTGTTGCCATTATCATTGAATATGTTATTTGGAGGCCACATAGGGGCGGGGGAAGGAACCTCAACCCAGGTAATTTCCCATCTTTTCCCCATAAACTTGGGTTCAGTTCTCATGGGGTCTCACTTTCCCATCATCGGGGGTAGTCCCAGGGCAGTAGTGTTTTTTCCAATTTCCTTTAAGGCCAGTACCTAAAATTTTCAGGGAGAATTGGATATGGCCTCTTCTCTGCAGGAGCAGTTTGAGTTGAAACCAAAATAAGCAAATTTATTAGGAGGGGCATTTTGAGCAGGAGGGACATCGGGGTTGCTCCTCTGGGAAGGCTGCTGTGCGGTCCCTGCCATCCGACTGCCCGGACCGTGTCATCAGGCGGGCGGTTCTGACCGGCTCCCGACAGTTTTCCTTATTATATTAAGTAGTTTTAATTAGAACTTAAAACCATTTGGTACTTTAACCTTCAGTGAACACTGAAAAATAGGCCACTGTAAACTGTTACACCAGCATTCTTCAGATTAATACATCTATGAACATATTTTATCATTTTTGGAAATGTGCCTTACAGCACAATTTCTCATTAAGCATAAAATATGTCTATATAACTTAGCAAAACTTTAAGAATTTGGGTTACCACAAAAATTCTCAGGCTGTTTGCAGATATATACACTGTTATACAGTAATACAGTATTATTATTAAGACGTTCAGTTGCTACACTTGTTTACCTATTTTTATCAACTATGCTAGATTACTTATAAAACTTTTACCAAACATCAAAGTCAAGCTTTTCTTTAAGCATCTTCTTGAAATATTTAACAGGTAACATTAACTGAAGTGACTTTAAGTAAACTTTGGCAGCTGATAGCTATAAAGACATGTCTGTTTCAGTTAAACTTAAATTAGCATTAATGCTTAATATTTTTTATTAGATTTTCTGGAAGTTTTAGAATGCCCAATTTTCACAAGCGCTTGTCTTTAAATCAATTTTTACTAATATCATCCGGAGATAGAAAAATATTTTTCATTTACACACTTAGACACACCAACATACAGAATTGAGATGTAATGACTACAGTTAGCAACACTTTTCATATAAAAGAACATATACACAGACAAACTGATGCAAAGATTTGAGTTACTAATATTCAATTGCCTTTTTTCCTTTTAGCTTATTTGATTAAAAGTACTTCAGTTTTCAAGAATATACTCTAAGGGCGAGCAGTTTACATAACTGGGTTAAGGTTTAGACAGCCCCACACTAAAAGGGTCAATGAAGGCTCTGAACTGATAGGGACTGTGTGTGTCCAGGGGACTGGAAATGAAATGCAAGTACAATTCTAGCACCAGTTATTTAAAGCCAGCCTGCATTGTAAAAGATAAATTTCTTTTATTTCAGGGAGTCTAGTTTAAAACTTCCCAATTTTTAAAGATAATGATGAACCCAATAAGTAGAATAGATTTTCACTAAAAGAATTTAGAAAACCAATTCCATATTGTAGTAGTTCATGGGACTTTTGACTATCTTCTTTCCTTGTGGCAAAATATATTTAGCTGCTTAACATTATATTGCATATGTCTTTCAGGGGCCAAGCCTCTCTAATCAGAGAGTTTGTACTGAGGCCAGGTTTGTGTGTAAAAGATAAGACACTTCTTTTTTAGAGTTTAGGGATTGAATTACTCTCAGTTAGTTTTCCTAATTTTTTCTGCCTGGAACTTTAGTCATTCCTTAAGAGCCCCCTGCCTGTTGGATAAGTGCAGGGACTGTGTGACCTATCACTGTTAGAGCCTTGATCCTAGTCACAAGCCTGTCTTGCTTCCCTGGGGCTGCAGAAAACGAAATGCCTAGCCCCAGGACGACTGCCTCTAAAGAAAGGAGTCAATAGAACAGAGTTATTTACATGTTGGTTTGACGTTTCAGCTTGATGGCCTTACAGACTTCATTTACATTACATAGGAGAAAGTGGTGCAGGCCTAAGAGGACTGCTTTGAATGGGGAGCAAGGTAAATTAATAAGAGTAAAGGTTTGTGTAAGTCAATTTTTGATAATTGAGTTGTTTTGAATGTGTTGTTCTACCTACTTGAGTTCTTCAGCTTTTAAGGTTAAGTCTCTAGGACTATTAAGACCTGAGGGTCTTTTCAAAGTATTGAAGAGATGTTGCAGTTTATAAGTAGGAATACTTAGTAACTGTCAGATCCAACTGATATCTCCTAATAATTTTTGAAAATCATTTAGTTTTAAGATGATCTCTCCTTATCTGAATTTTCTAAGGGATTATTGAATTTTCTTGAATTTTATTCCCCAAGTAATTCATTGGGTATTGTATTTGTATTTTATCAGTAGCTATTTATAAGCCCCATTGTTTTAATTCAGCTTTGGTCTCATTGAGAATAGTAGTAAGAGATAGATGTTTATGTAGAGCTATGAGAATATCATCTCAGAGCTCTAGCTTCCAGAATTGCAAGGAAATACATATTTGTTGTTCAAGTCACCTAGTCTGTGGTATTTTGTTGTAACAATTCTAGAAAACTAACACAGTTGCACAACTCTCTGTATCTATACTAAAAACCACTGAGTTGTTATGGCATGTAAGTAATATCTGAACAAAGCTCTTAAAAAGAAGTGTTGTAGGCGATTCCCTCTCACAGCAAATGTTACAAATTTTGGACTAGACTGTGTTACAAACAGTCCTGATGCTTCTGCACCTGGCCTTGAACTGAATGCTGCTGGATCATGGGGTTTGGTCAGATGCTCAAGGAGCTCACTGTCTGGTGTGCAAGACTGTCCAAGGACCAGAGAGTGTGACCAAGGCTCAAGGTGAGTCTGGGTTTTGAAATCCTGAAGCACACAGATTTTGCAAGTCCCCTTTAAGAAAAGTAGCTCAAAATTAGATGTGAAGGTGACTATTGCTTTAGATTTATAAAAGAAATCACAAATTTTACAAGTGGCAAATTAAAAAAAAATTGACAAATGTCACACAACTCAAATCCAGAAGAATAAAATCTTTTTATTTAACTAAAAATAATTCACAAGTTAAATTGCAACTGTTTATGAGACAAAAATACAGAAAATAGAAAGCAAGCTCAAATGATTGTGATTTGAGTTTGCTGGCTATAGTACTGTTATGTTGCTGTGTAACTAATTACCACAATTGCAGCAGCTTAAAACAATATACATTTATTATTATCTCACACTTTCTGTGAGTCACAGTCATTGACTCCCAGCTAAACTGTGCCCTCTGCCCAGGGTTCCACAAGACTGCAGTTAAGGTGTTAGCCAGGCTACATTATCCCCTGGAGGCTTGATTACAGATGAATTAGTTCCCAAGGTCTTCAGGTTGCTGACATAATTCATTTCCTTGCTGCTGTGTGACTGAAGTGTCTGTTTTATTGTGGCTGTCCGTTGAAGGTTGTCTGCACTTCCTTGCCACCTGGACCTCTTCCTAGGCTCATTACAACTTGGCAGCTTACTTCTGCAAGCCAGCAACAAAGAAAAATCTCTCGCTAGACTATTAAAATTAAGAGTGACATCCCTTAACCTTTGTCATATAATGCAACCTAATGGAGGAGAGACATCTCATCTCATTTTCATATCCTGTTGTTTTAGAAGGAAGTTCTAAGTCCTGCCTTCGTTCAAGCTGTGATAAGCACTGTAATAAACTGATGTAATTTCAGTATGCTAAAAATTATTCAGAAGATTTTATAATTAACATAATTATAAAGTTAATGATAAGATGAGATAATGTCTGAGATGATGAAGAATCACAATACAGCCCATGAAATGGTTTAAGAGCATTGATTGCTGTTGTGTGTTGCATTGGTTCACTTTTTTGCACTTTATGTGAGGGCAAGGTATCGAGAAGTAGCGCCCTCAAGCATATATATATATATATATATATATGAAAGACAGGAGACAGACGACATGGAAAGTGAATTAGTATATCCTATTTTGTACCAGCCTTTGGGTATAAGAAAGAAGACTGCTAACCAAAACCAGGAGTAAAAACTGAATTGACAGTAAGAGATAGGGAAACTGAACACACAAGACCTAGAGGCAGAGTGGTAGGGATTCCATGGATGAGCTGCCCTTGGGCATGAACTCCTCTGCCAACTTCACCCATGGACCTATGGACAACACAACAGTCCTGGACATTTTTAAATCCCTCTGCAAAAAGGGAAGGGACTTGGACATTTTATGAAAGCTTGTGGGTATAAAAACAGAACCTCAGACCTATGCATGGTGTCAGTGAACATTAACAATACTGGAATCTTGGTTTTCTTTTCTATAAAATAAATAATACAAAATACTACTATATTACTAGCTGTAAAACTATATTTTATCTGCATACTAATATAGCAGTTTTTTTCTAGTTATCAAATTCTATGGTTGTGGAAAAGCTCTCAAATACTCTTTATTGTATTCTGAAGCAAGTTCATATATTTTGAGACGTAGGAATTAAAATGATTTATAGCTCAACTTAGAACAAGTCTTCAAGAAAACTAAAATTGGAGAAAATATTGGAATACACAACTGGAGAATATGTGAATTGTTTACATAAATACACACATAATTATGGTTATTATTTGAATCAAATATCAAAACCAAAAAATATATCATTAATATATGCCAGTAGTGTAGGAAAGCATCTATATCCACAGTATGGAAAATACTAGATTAGAAGTATCTAATACCTAGAACTAATAAAACTTTACTTTCTCATTATTCTTCTAAAGAAATTTATCTCCCACTTAGAGCACTTATACAACATTTGAAAGCCATAAAAATAACACAGTCATCTATGTAAGTAGAGTTGACAATCAGGGGTGCATTAATAATATAAATAAAAATACTAATGGTAAAACATACTTATATAATCATAACAAAAGCCCTTAGAAGAGGGAATTATTATCCTTACTTAATAAGGCTTGGAAAAGCCTCATTAAGGCTTTTGTCCAAAAAAAGCAGAGCCACGAAATCAAACCCTGGTCATATTTGGATTTCTGAAACAAAAATGATATCATTTTATATATGTCTTACATCTAATGATATGATTGAATTTCCTCACCTGCCACTTACTTCTAGTTCCCAAAGGATGGATGAAATCGAGCCACCATCAGAAGAGTGGCGTGGCTAGTAATTCTCAAAATATCAACGCCCATAAAGCTTAGGGGCATGGATGTAAACTTGGCACTTATCTCTTCAGTTGAAAAAATTAGGTCAGTTCCGGACTTCACATGCTTATGACCTGCACAATGAAACAGGACAGTGCCAGAAACTAAGACGGAAACAAAATGGACACACCCTTTAGTTAAACTGGCTCCCCAGATCTGCTGCTTTAGGCTGAAGACCCTGTGGCCTCGCGCGGTGTCCGCAGCCTGGTATCCTGCCTGATCAGAAACACTGGGCTCTCCGCCTGAACATTTGGCAGAATTCCAGAAGATTTTATGCCCCAATTTGACCAAATGGGAAGCTCTGGAAAACTATTACATTAACAGAGTGATAAGAGTCAATTCTTTTGAGGAAGTAGTTGCTTAAACAATACACATCCGCATTTTCAGTAAGAAAATGTAATAAATCATCAGTTCAAATCTGTTTCTACTATATGAGGCTCCCAGTTGTTCACCCTTCAAATGCCATTTCCTTCTGACATTCTTAAAGAGTGTGTTAAATGTTGCTCAGAAAAGAGCATGTATGGTGAAACTAGAGTCAGTCCCTGGATATGAATATAGATTTTATAACAGAGGGAAGAACAAAAGGGTCTTGTACGTGTTGTCCTGTGTTTTAATTTATGCACAACTTAGAAAAACTCAGTACAAAATATAAGTTCACTATTGTTTTCGCCTTCTCTTTCTTTATATACATATACTTTTAAAAATTCAATACTACATCGCTCTCAAAGTACTTCGTAATGGTAACACCTCATTAAAAGTAATCATACACACACACACAAATAGAGGTAAGAAAATACTTGCTTGTTTATTTTTTAGCAGACTTTTACTTTGAGGTTTGTAGCATAAAGAACATCCAAGAACTCTCTTTGCCCTAAATGAGAAGTAATCATATGGATATCTGTCAGACAATGAAATGACGAGTAACTACCTGTAACTAATTCTTAGCAAGAAAAATGCCATGGTTATGGAATAAAAAATATCCCAAATAAGGATAAATGTTACATAAACCTCCTAAATATCTGTACTTACAGAATTTTTATTTGGTAAGATCTTTTTAACTATATAGCAAATGATATATTAATAATTTCATATATCTTTTAAATAATTACCATGTATATTTATATATATATACATATTCACACAGCATTGCTTCTGATCAAGGAACATACATCACAGCAAAAGAAGTGTGGCAAAGGACCTGTGCTCATAGGAAATTCATTGGTGCTACCAGATTCCTCACCTTTCACCTGGCTTGATAGGGTATTGGCATGGCCTTTTGCAGACTTTGTTACAGTACCAACTAGGTAGCAATATACCTTGCAAAGCTGGGGCAAGGTTCTCCAGGATTCTGTATCTACTCTGAATCAGCATCCAATATATGGCTCTTTTTCCCATAACCAGGATTTGCTAAGTCCACAGATCAATGAGTGGAAATGAGAGTGGCAACCCTCATTATTACTCGTACTGACCCATTTGCAAAATTTCTGCTTCCTGTTCCTGTAACTTTATGCCCTGCTGGCCTGGAAGTCTTAGTACCAGAGTAAGTACTTAGACCAGGAAACAAAACAATGATTCCACTGAACTGAAAGTTCAAACTGCCACCCTAGCCCTTTGGACTCCTCATGCCTTTGAATCAACAACCAAAGAAGGGAGCTGTGCCAACTGAGGCAATTGATCCTGACTGTAAAGGGAAAACTGAACTGCTGCTTAACACAGGAGGTAAGGGAGAGTATGTCTGGAATACAGGAGATCCTCAGGGCCTCTCTTAGCATTACCATATCCTGTGTTAATGTCAATGAAAAATGATAATACCACAACCCACACAGGGCTAGTAATATCCCATATCCTTTAGGAATGAAAGTTTGGGTAATTCCACCAGACAAAGAACCCCAACCAACTGAGATGCTTGCTGAAGGCAAAGGTAATACAGAATGGATGGTAGAAGTTCATTACACATGCCAGCTGTGACCATGAGACTTGTTACAGACACAAGAATTGTAATTGTTAAGAGTATTCACTCTTAATTTTGTTGTATGTTATGTGTGTAGCAAATATCTTTGTTTTCCTCCCCTATTTCTTTGTCATGTAATATATAACATACTGAATTATTATCATGGTATTTAAGTATTGATACTTCTATATCACAGTATTTAACTTACAGGATATCAGGAGAAGAGTTAATGTCACTCAAGGACTTACCTCTTCTAGGGAAGCTGTAGTGTGTTTTTGATTGTAGGCAGTATAGTTGTATCATGTTAGATGGAATTATGATCTTGTTATTGTCTTTATTTATAGATTAAGTATGGCTTAAGGAGATGTACATGGGTGCCAAATTGATGAGGAGTGGACTTGCGATGGTCAATTTTATGTGTCAGCTTGACTAGGTTATGAGTGCTCAGATATTTGGTTAAACATTCTGGTGTTTCTGGATGAGGTTAACAGATGAATTGGTCAGCTGAGTAAAGCAAATTGCTCTCCACAATGTGGTTAGTCCTGATCTAATCAGCTGGAAGCCTGTAGAGAAAAAAAAAAGACAAAGTAGAATTTGCTCTCTCTCTGCCTGAATACACTGGAACATCAGTCTTTTCCTACCTTCAGACTTGGACTGGAACTATACCATTAGCTCTACTGCGTATCCAGTTTGTCAACTGCAGATGGTGAGACTCCTGTCTCCATAACCATATATGAGCCAATTCTGTATACACTTGACCATTGAACAACGTGGAGGTTAGGGATGCCAACTCTCTGTGCAGTGGAAATCTGTGCTTAACTTTTGACTCCCAAAAAACCTAACTACTAATAGTCTACTGTTGATCAGAAGCCTTACTGATTACACAGCCAATTACAATGTATTTTATATGTTAAATGCAATACACACTTTATTCATACAATAAAGTAAGTTAGAGAAAAGAAAATGTTTTCTCAAACAGTCAAAAGTCTGCAAAATATTTTCCAATATGCTTACTGAAAAAAATCCACATATAAGTGGACCCACACAGTTCAAACCCATGTTGTTAAAGGGTCAACTCTATATATTGGTTCTGTTTGTTGGCTCTGTTTCTCTGGAGAACCCCAATACAGATAAATTCTAAGATTTAGCCACCATCTGTGTTATATTGTACATCAGCAGTTTCTCCTTTTATCACTGTATGGTATTCCACTGTGTGAATATAATACAATTTATCTATTCTCCTACTGATGGACATTTTGGGATCTCTGCATTTGGGGCTGGCAATATAGCTGTGAGAAACATTGTTTTACCTGACCTTTGGTAAATAATTGCACTTAATTTTCTTTCTTATTTTTGCTTT